TGAAATGTTCAGTTTGCATTTCAGCAAAATATGAATATGTTATCCTTTTTCTGAGAAAGAACTGAAGAATCCTTGCCATATTTCACAAGTTGGTTTCCGTTGGTCTTTCTTGCGACTTTTTTTAAAATTTGATCGCTATTCTTCAAAAGTACAGGGGAATATTTCTGGAATTTGTATCAAGGCTCCTCTTGGTGTTTGGTTGTTCAGCTTCATCAGAAAAAAGGTAATGGCACAAGGCAGACATATTGACCGTTGACCATTTAAGTTTGTGATCATTTATTTTTTAGAATAGAATACAGAAATATTTTCCCAAATATTCAATTTTTTTTCATATCCCATTTTGAGTTTGACCAGAAGAGAAAGATGGATGTAAGAAATCAGAAACAAGAAATACAATCATTTACACACTACTATTTTAGACAAGATATCAAAAGAAATATTCACTTTGAGAGGTAAATGTCAAGCACAGCAGTATGACGGTGCATTGACAGAGTTGATTATACCCATCAAAGGACTGGTTGGCTCTTATTGGTGCTAATCGGATCCACAGCCTGTTGTCCTGTTGTTTTGTAGTCACCCTCTGAAAGTCCACTTCAGCTTATACTGAACCATACTGCACAGCAACCTCTAAAAGTCCTCTTCTGCTTATACTGAACCATACTGCACAGCAACCCCTAAAAGTCCTCTTCAGTAAGTCAAGTCATCACCTGGCTGTCACTTTGCTCTATTGCAATAAGTCTAATATCATATCATACACAACAGAATCAACGGGAACCTTACGTGGAATTTAGAAAAAAAAATCCCTCCATTACATCAAGGCAAAGAACGTCCAAGAGACGAAAAGTGATTTGAACCATGTTATGAAGCAATTAAGTTTCACATTGTTGTCATCTTTAAAATCCATGTTGGCCATCATACAAAGTCTGGATTAAGTGGCTCCTATCAAAATTTGAAAGCAAAGGCGATGAGAAGCAAATGAACAAAATATGGTCCATTTGTCCAGAATGTCCACAGTGATCTCATCCAAGCCATCTAGCTACTTGGCTTCTTATTGTCCAGTCTTCTAAGAAACACATCATCGAGTCTTCCATTCTTCCTTCAAAGAAACCCGCTATATTCAATCCTTAGTTGTTCAACTTAAAAATATATCTCATTCGAATATACTTCTTCCCTTCAAAGAAACACCTAACCGTTAAGTCTTCTACTCACTCTTTAAAAGAGACATATTTGACTTCTTCGCCCTCTAAAACAATACGTCAAACACGTGTCTTTTACACGACTTCTAAAGAAAACTCCCCATCGTCAAGTCATTTATTCCACTTCTAAAGAAATCTCCCCATCCTCAAGTCATTTACTCCACTTCTAAAGAAAACTCCCCATCCTCAAGTCATTTATTCCACTTCTAAAGAAATCTCCCCATCCCCAAGTCATTTACTCCACTTCTAAAGAAAACTCCCCATCCT